TAGGGTGTCATACGGAGGCGAATTTTTTTTTTTGAGTTTGAAAAATCGGCCCATGTTATTAATGATGTAGTTCTATGTGCAGAATCATGTGATATCTTCAGATTTGAAAAGTTTTTATTTTTTGCTAGGTAAATTTTAACTTGAAATCTTATGAAAATTCAGTATTCCCACCCTTTTACCAACACCACTAAATAGCTTATTTAAAGTAAAATAAATGTATCAGGTTAATTTATTAGGATGAAAATGATCCAGAATAGTGAAACGAATGATCTTGACACATTTATTAAATTTAATATTCCTTTAGAAAACAAAATCATCAAATACAAAAACCAGTTTTACTACTACGACCCGGTGTTGCTGCACACCATAGAGAACATGTCTTTCTTGCTTCTGTTTCTACTCATCACCTCCCTGCTGACCACCTGAGCTCGGATGTAGCCTTCCCTCCTCTCCTGGCTGTACACGTGACTGCTGGCCTCGCTCACTTGCTGTACACAACGCTCTATACTCTGGGTGTGCAGGGCCAGGCAGGGACATGCATGGGGTTGTCCAGAAAAAGCTCTGACTTGAACATTGGTGAGGCTGCAGGTAAGAGGGGGTTCACTGGTGTTGGTAAAAGGGTGGGGGAAGTCATCCTGAATCAGCTTGACTCAATCATCGGCCTTTTTTACCTCACCCTGGGCCTTCTCAAGTCTCTTTCCTCGGCAACTCTTCTCTCTTCTGTCTCTCTGTGGCAGCCTCCTGTCTCTGACTCCGGAATATCTTGGCTAGAAATCATGAGAGCCCCTTATACTGCCAGTCTTCTCTCTCTGTGCTTTGACAAATGCCAGTTCGATCACAGGAATCTTCAGTTCACGCTTGCAAATACAGGAGATGTGGGCCTCGGATTTACAGTCACGATCGCATCCAAACTCAGGACAGAGAACAATTGGGCACTTGCAAGTAATTATGTCAAATAACTGGTCCAGTTGCTTGGCAGCTGTCCTAACTGCAAGTTTTCCTCTCCCAAGAGAGAGATATCTTGCCTTTTCCCAACTGGCTAGCAGTCTCTCACTAATCTTCTTCTGACTTGTTATGACTGGAGGCTTGAACTGAGCGTTAGCCAGAGAGTACTGTGCCAAGACAGCTTTGGTCATATCACTGGCAATGTCTTTGTTTGTGTAAGTTCTTTGGTTCTTTTCACTGATTTGCCTGATTAAAACACCGTATCTCAAAGCATCTCTCAATGTAGGCAACTCCGACTTCAGGAGCTCTCTCCCAGACCCAAGATAGTGACTGAGATGGCTGGATTTTTGGTTCCTCGTCCTGACACAAGCAGCCATCGCAAATATTATCAACTTATAAATGCATCAGAATCTGAAACAGAAAAAAATATTGTTAGTTGGGTTGTTAAAGAATGAAGTCAGAAAACAATGTTCACTATTTAATTGTAATGCACTAATGTAGCTGTACGTTAGATTTTCGATAAATTTCACGCTATAATTTACCTAGCAAAAGGTTGCAAAATATTGAAACTGAAATTATTTTCTGTTTATATACACTAAAATCTACCAAAAAAGTGATGGGCCATTAGTTTTAGCTGATCTTCCCTCCTATGACACACCCTATATGGTGTATCCTTCTGTCTCACTTAATCTGTTTACAAGGGACAGTCACCAGCGTCAGGCACCTCCATAACAGTTCATGCACACTGTTGACCTTCACAGATGTTCTCATGGCGGTGAAAACGTTGGGAGAAGAATTAAAGGTTTATTATGACGATGATCTCCAGTATTGTCAACCACAGTTAACTATAAGATATTAAGGCACTAATGGTCTTGGTGACAATATGTTACAGAACCAGGACCTCCAGTCATCATGTCGGTGGAGCCAGCACCGTCCTCGTCACTAAGAGTGAAGTGGAGCACCCCAGAGAAGCCCAACGGCGTCATCACCATCTATACTATTACCTGGACCTGGGAGGGGCATATGGACCATACCATAACCCCTGACAACACCTACACCACCACCGACCTGCTTCCCTGTACCACCTACAGCGTCACCGTCAGGGCTGCTACAAGTAAAGGTTATGGTCCAGAGAGTGATCCATTGACTGGAACAACTTATCGTGTAGGTGAGTGTTTACAATGTTCCTTGTGCTAATTACTTATTGACACACATATGTACACAATTATATACAAACAACATATATACACGCACGAGCACAACACAGAAATACACAAACACTTACATATACACATATATATACACACACACACACACACGCACACACACACACACACACACAAACACACATACACACACACACACACACACACACATATACACACACACACACACACACACACACACACACACACACACACACACACACACACACACACACACACACACACACACACACACACACACACACACACACACACACACACACACACACTGTTAAGTTGGCCCATACCAACTCCCTAAGACCTCCTCCCCACCGGAATATCAACAAGTTCTCGCCAGAAGTTACTATTTCATTTAGGAAAGGAATGGAACCAGTGTTAAACAGAGGTGAACAGTGGTGAACAGTGCTTAAGTCAGTGAGAACAACTTAACAGTAACAGTCGCACCCAAGTTAACCTTCACACAGTGAGGTCCCAGGTACCCAGTGATAACGGCCCGTGAGACCCAACAACCAGCGACGTGTTAATCCGTCTACGATAGGAAGGCCTGGGACCACACCTCACTCATATAACACCATCTGTGAGGGAATTACTACACCACGTGAGGCCCCGCATAACACCATCTGTGAGGGAATTACTACACCACGTGAGGCCCCGCATAACACCATCTGTGAGGGAATTACTACACCACGTAAGGCCCCTCATAACGCCATCTGTGAGGGAACTACTACACCACGTGAGGTCCCTCCTAACACCATCTGGGAGGGAGTTACTACACTACGTGTTTGCTGTTCAACACCTACAATAATCTGTATGTTCACTGTATGTTCCTTCACCTTTCTCTAATGAAGGCTTTTGTTAAACCACCAATGTATGTAATAAGTCATATATGTCTAATGTATATTTTCAGCCTTCTGGCTGCAGAACTTTTTCAATAAACCGTTAATTATTAATTATTATTACACACACACACACACACGCACACACACACACACACACACACACAAACACACATACACACACACACACAAACACATACACACACACACACACACACACACACACACACACACACACACACACACACACACACACACACACACACACACACACACACACACACACGCGCGCGCGCGCGCGACCACACACACACATTTTATTTTTTCTCGAAAATACAAACTGTTCTGTTAATAATCATGTAGATAGTCCTTGTACAAACTCCAAATAAATAATTTAACCTAACCTCATGGGAGACAGTCAGTCCGTTAACCACATGAGAGTGAGACAGTCAGTACCATAACCACCTGCGAGAGAGACAGTCAGTCCCTTAACCTCATGAGAGAGAGACAGTCAGTCCCTTAACCTTATAAGAGAGAAACAGTCAGTACCATAACCTCATTAGAGAGAGACAGTCAGTCCCTTAACCTTATAAGAGAGAAACAGTCAGTACCATAACCACCTGCGAGAGAGACAATCAGTCCCTTAAGCACATGAGAGAGAGAGAGACAGTCAGTCCCTTAACCTAATGAGAGAGAGAGAGACAGTCAGTCCCTTAACCTCATGAGAGAGACAGTCAGTCCCTTAACCACATGAGAGAGAGACAGTCAGCCCCTTAACTTCATTAGAGAGACAGTCAGTCCCTTAACCTCATGAGAGTGAGAGACAGTCAATCCCTTAACCTCATAAGAGAGAGACAGTCAGTACCTTAACCTCATGTGAGAGAAACAGTCAGTCCCTTAACTTCATGAGATAGAGAGACAGTCAGTACCTCAACCTCATGAGAGAGAGAGACAGTCAGTCCCTTAACCTCAGGAGAGGGACAGTCAGTCCCTTAACCTCATGAGAGAGAGACAGTCAGTCCCTTAACCTCATAAGAGAGACAGTCAGTCCATTAACCTCATGAAAGAGAGAAAGACAGTCAATACCTTAACCACATGAGAGAGAGACTGTCAGTCCCTTAGCCTCATGATAGAGGGAGTCAGTCCCTTAGCCTCATGAGAGAGAGACAGTCAGTACCGTTACCCACATGAGAGAGATAGTCAGTACCTTAACCGCATGACAGAGAGACAGTCAGTCCCTTAACCTCATGAGAGAGAGAGAGTCAGTCGCTTAACCTCATGAGAGAGAGACAGTCAGTCCCTAAACCTCATGAGAGAGAGAGACAGTCAGTACCTTAACCCAATGAGAGAGAGACAGTCAGTCCCTTAACTTTATAAGAGAGAAACAGTCAGTCCCTTAACCTCGTGAGAGAGACAGTCAGTCCCTTAAGCACATGAGAGAGAGAGAAACAGTCAGTCCCTTAACCTTATATGAGAGAAACAGTCAGTCCCTTAACCTCGTGAGAGAGACAGTCAGTCCCTTAAGCACATGAGAGAGAGAGAAACAGTCAGTCCCTTAACCTCATGAGAGAGAGGCAGTCAGTCCCTTAAGCACATGAGAGAGAGAGACAGTCAGTCCCTTAACCTCATAAGAGAGGGACAGTCAGTCCCCTAACCTCATAAGAGAGAGAGACAGTCAGTACCTTAACCACATGACAGAGAGACAGTCAGTCCCCTAACCTCATAAGAGACAGAGACAGTCAGTACCTTAACCACATGAGAGAGAGACAGTCAGTCCCTTAACCTCGTAAGAGAGAGACAGTCAGTCCCTTCACCTCATGAGAGAGAGAGAGACAGTCAGTCTCTTAACCATAGAGAGAGACAGTCAGTCCCCTTTCAACCTCATAAGAGAGAGACAGTCAGTCCCCAACCCTAAATAGGTATATTAGTCAGTACTCAACTACATGAGAGAGACAGTCAGTACCTTAACCACATGAGAGAGACAGTCCCTTAACCTCGTGGGGAAGAGAGACAAGTCAGTTCCTTTAAACCACACAGAGAGAGAGAGACAATCAGTCCCTTAACCTCATAAGAGAGAGACAGTCAGTCCCCTAACCCATAAGAGAGAGAGAGACAGCCACCTTAACCACATAAGAGAGACAGATAGTCCCCTCAACTCACAAGAGAGACAATCAGTCCCTTTAACCACATGAGAGAGAGAGAGACAGTCAGTCCCTTAACCTCATGAGAGAGAGACAGTCAGTACCTTAACCTCATGAGAGAGAGAGAGACAGTCAGTCCCCTAACCACATGAGAAAGAGAGAGAGAGAGACAGTCAGTCCCTTAACCTCATGAGAGAGAGAGAGACAGTCAGTCCCTTAACCACATGAGAGAGAGAGAGACAGTCAGTCCCTTAACCTCATGAGAAGAACAGTGAATCTTTCTTATGTTATAATAACTCTGGAACCTGACCGAGGGCCCTGGTGAGGAGCCATACAGTCTCTCTCTCTCTCTCTCTCTCTCCTCTCTCTCTCTCTCTCAAAGCTTTCATCATTGTTTCTTATCCAGTCCTAGTGTGTCCCTATTATTGCTGAACCTACTATTGACTCTTATAGTAATAGTGTTTGCCATTGATCCATTAGTGACCAGAGATGTGAAAGTCAAAACCTAACCATAACACCAGATTTGTTGACAAGTATAGAGACTACTTATTTTACAACATTATTTAAGGGCTCTGAAGTGTATTTATTGATTGTTCAAGGACTTGGAATTTGGCAAGTTGATAAGTGTGTGTGTGTGTGTGTGTGTGTGTGTGTGTGTGTGTGTGTGTGTGTGTGTGTGTGTGTGTGTTGACTCGGGCCACCCTCCATTGTAAACACTATCACTAGTTTGTCTTTCATGTTTGAAATATTGTTGATTTTATCCTTTAATTCAGGAAATAAGAAGTAAATAATAACCAGTTGTTGTTCCTTGTAACAGGAAAGTACACCACACTTACTGTGGCGAGCACCACAACCTTGTACATGTATTGTTCCTTTGATAGACAAGAGTTATAAAGTAGGAAGATGGTGAGTGTATCATATATTGTGACCAGTGGTCCTGCCCGGGGCTCTCACTATAACACCTTCACTTAGTTGTGGGAGAAAAACATGGTCTCACCACAACACTTTAATGAAACACGTCCTCAGCTTCACACCCAAAATACTTACTAACTGTTGCTGTACGTTATCCGCCAGACCCTGATCCCTACCTCCAGGACCTTATGGCGGCCAAGGTGATGGATCAGTCCTCTCAGCTGTTCGTGAACTGGACCGCGGCACAAGGCGTCGGTAACTGTGTCGTCACCTACAGGATCACCTGGCGCCCCGTCAGTGAGAGTAATGGTAATGGTACATCTTACACCACCTCGCTGAGCCACACCATCACCCAGCTGGAGGCCTGGACCACCTACCACGTGTGTGTGGCCGCCACGACTAAAACAAAATACAATAATGACACATGTACCAACACAACGACAGACGAGGACAGTGAGTAGTGGATGATGATGATGGTGATAGTGATGATGGTGATGATGATGGTGATGATGATGATAATGAGAGTGCTGGTTGATATTGATGATGTTGATGGTGATGGTTGATGATGATGATGGTGATGATGATGATGATGATGATGGTGATGATGATGATGGTGATAATGTTGGTTGATAATGATGATGATGATGATGATGATGATGATGATGATGATGGTGATAATGTTGGTTGATAATGATGATGATGATGATGATGATGATGATGATGGTGATAATGTTGGTTGATGATGATGATGATGATGATGATGATGATGATGATGATGATGATGATGACGATGATGATGATAATGTTGGTTGATGATGATGATGATGATGATGATTATAATAATGATGATGATGCATGACACGTGGCGGTGATGCTGAAAGTGAATTGCATGCAAAAAAAATAATAATAATAATAATGATAATAATAATAATAATAATAATAATAACAACAACAACAACAACAATTATAATAATAATAAAAATAATACTAATAATACTAATAATAATAATAATAATAATAATAATAATAATAATAATAATAATAATAATAATAATAATCCACGTAATTCAGAAAACAAAAAAAAATTAGAATTTTATGTTGCGTGTTGTAGAGAAGGTTAAATAACATGATACCCTGCCTGGGTACTGCCTGGGTGACGTGTTGTGAGAAAGGTTAAGTAACATGATACACTGCCTGGGTGGCGTGTTGTAGAAGGTTAAACAACATGGAAATACAATGACTGGGTGACGTGTTAATGAAGGTTAAAATAACCGCGATTCACTGCCTGGGTGGCGATATTATTGTGAGAAGGCTAAGTAACATGATACATTGCCTGGGTGACGCGTTGTGAGGAAAAGTCCAAGTAACATGATACACTGCCTGGGTGACTTATTTGTGAGAAAGGCTAAGTAACATGATACACTGCCTGGGTGACGTGTTGTGAGAAAGGTTAAGTAACATGATACCCCTGCCTGGGTGACGTGTTTGTGAGAAGGTTAAGTAACGATTCACTGCCTGGGTGGCGTGTTGTGAGAAGGTTAATAACATATTTTGCACCACTGGTGACGTGTTGTGAGAAAGGTTAAAGTAACATGATACAATGACTGGAGTGACGTGTTGTGAAGGTTAAATGGCACGATTCACTGCCTGGGTGATGACGTATTGGCCAGAAGGCTAAGTAACATGATGTGCATGCCTGGGTGACGCGTTGTGAGAAAGTCGGCCAACATGATACACTGCCTGGGTGACTGTTGTGAAAGCTAAGTAACGTGATACACTGCCTGGGTGACGTGTTGTGAGAAGGTTAGTAACATGATACACTGCCTGGGTGACGTGTTGTGAAAGGCTAAGTAACATGATACACTGCCTGGGTGACGTGTTGTGAAGGCTAAATCAACGCGATACACTGCCTGGGTGATGTGTGTTGTGAAAGGTTAAGTAACATGATGCACTGCCTGGGTGACGTGTTGTGAAAGGTTAAGTAACATGATACACTGCCTGGAGTATCATGCCTGTTTAACGAAGGGCACATGGGTTTGGAAGGGACAGAGCGGGATGTATATGAGAGGAACAGGGGGAGTTGGTTTGGGACGAGCCAAGGTGGAGAGGATGCGAGGGAGAATGGCTAACGTCTGCACTCAATCAGATATGCTGGAGTGTAATGTAAAACAACCTAATGTGCTGGAAAGGTTAGTTTTTAGTTCTCCATACCTTTGTCATCTATCTTGCTTATAATGCGGCATTTACTGCTGCCATTCATCTTCTGAACCTCCGCCTACTGTGTGTTTTTATCATATAAACTCAGTCAATTAAAAATTTCAATCGTCCTGTTTGACTATGTCTCAGTCTTTGTCAGGGCGGCGTCTTTATTTCTTTGACACCTGTGTGATTTTTCGCTGTGTTATTTAGTAGTTAACGTATACATGTTCACGTATAATAAAAGAATTATACATTAACCATTTTATCTTAGTTATTGTTACTTTACATTACACAGGAAAAACTGACGAAATTATATTTAGTTGTCTGAAGATTCTGTTGTATAGAAGTTGTTAGAATACAAATCTTTCTCTCTCTCACTCTCTCTCTCTCTCTCTCTCTCTCTCTCTCTCTCTCTCTCTCTCTCTCCTCTCTCTCTCTCAAAATATCAAAATTAAAAATAAATTGAAAGTTCCGTATATCTAAAATTCACTGTTTATTATGTTTGTACATTTATCACTCTATCTACATGTTACGACCAACGTGTCATTTCAGTGACACTTTCATCGATCATTACTTTTACCTTTGTAGTTTTCTTTTCCTTTAGAAATTTATCTTGATTTCCTGCATCAGAATTTTCGTGGTGAAAAATATTAATATCGAAAGTTTCTGATGCAGAAATTGTTTCATTTCTATCTCTTCCGTCCCAGGCCGGAATAATATATTATTCAGAAAATCTGCATATTTGCCGCAACTCTGGACAAATCTGAAAATCGGTACACATGTACCTGTACCTGATAGTAATTGAAAGTTTAGGTCTAAAGAGGCAAGGTTTCAAGGTTACTGATATGGTCAATCCGGGTATCAAGGTCAGATGCTAAAAACAACCCTAAAACAACTCCCCGAGGTCTATAAAGGCTGGTTTTGATGTCTAAATGATCTTTGTAATAAGCAGAACCTCACTTGAAGGTATATACAACACAGTAGAGTCACCTGGTCATACACACGGGGTCATAAGATCCAACCACGTGACCCGCTGAGTCCTGCTCTTGGTCGGGCATTAGGCAGAACTGTGTAGCTGTGACCTATATCCATGTTAATCGTCATATCGAGACAAATATGATTATTGTGTTGCCAATGATGAAAATGAACAGTGTCATGATGTGACCAAACTCATAGTAAGCATTTGTTTGGGTTGTTGTTGCTTAAGAAACTAATATGGAGGAACGCATATAAAAACATGTTTATTATTGTTTTATTGAACAGCAATGCACAAATGATGCATGTTACCGTCGAATCATCTCTTGATCCTGGACATATAATGTATTAATACTGCCATAACTAATCAAACCTTGTTCCACAGTTTACTGGCTTATCGTACCACAAACTCTAGAAAAATATAGAATTTATAGCACATATCATGACTGGTTATAGAAAATTCTCCGACCAAACACAAAGAGTTAGCTCTAAGCGTTCATGAGAGTATTGGTCTCATTACTGCGGAGCCAAGTGCACAAACAGAAGTGCAGGGAGTGCAGACTTCTTGCAGGTGCAGGAACTGGATGCTATTCTTACATCAACACTGCTGAGATGGTGCAAGGGAGTCGTCAGGATATCCTGGGGTTCCATGATGAGGTGTCAGAGTACTTCTTCCATCCGTAATCTTCTGTTGATGGCATCTTCAGTAGAAATTAATACTTCTGGCCCAGATGAAGGCAAGGTATAGGGCTCTGTTCGAAGACAGAGAGACCCCTGCTGCTGGTGGGAGGCACTCCACTCTTTGAGACTTGCAGCATCACTATGTTTCCTTTGGGAGATGACTTGTTCAGGGTGGGGCCTTTATTAAACAGGCAGCAAGTGAACCCTTGAAAGTTCCCAGACTATTGCGTCTGTGGTTATGTTGTTTCTCTGAAGAAAGTTTGTAAAATCAAATCTTCGATAATTCTGAGTAAGGCTTCCTCAATTTGTCATAATTTGGTGTACTTGGATGGGTGAAAATATGGACAAGATGGTTCCACTCAGACTTTTTCTCAGAGTTATACACCAGCGGCTTATTGTGAGAACATAAACAACTAAGCATTATTATAACGACCACCAACACTCCACAGGCCAGTCACACCCTCAGGCCTGGGGTCGAGAAACAATTAATGGTTCTTGTGTCTTTTCGTCTTAATACTATGGTCTTTTATTCAGCACGCTGCCACTGGCTGGGTTGCTTACTCGTGTTCTGCTCTCCGTAGATGGTACGGAGCCGTGTACGTGCCACCTAGGTGACAGGGCATAGAGTCTGCGCACCCAGGTCGTGTTTTGTGTAGTGTTTCTGTGACGTCCCCGGATCTTGTCCAACACACCTTGCGCATAGTCTTGATGGATCGACTGCAGGGCTTTGTGGGTATCAGATATAACCAGTCAGGTGTGTACTTGTATTTTGTGTGGGTTACAAGGTTAGGATCACTGTTGGTAATAATGTCTAGTCCACGAGTTGTATTGTGGGTCATTTAAAGTGCATGTAGGTGACTGATGTAGATTGTTATTAATTCAAACTAAATCCGATGTTGAAATCACAACTGTTTTAAATGTGTGTACAAACGTGGAATTAAACAGCAGAATTTATATAAATTTACATCTTTATTAAAATATTTCATTTCATATGTTTAATAGAAATTCTTGTTAGCTGTTTGCATGAATGACTTTTCAGATCATCCGCCATCTTAAAGAAAGAATAAATTCAAACTATTCGTCTTCTTTGAAAATTCAGCCAAGATCACTACTTGTTCCTTACCACTCTTTTATATTTTGTTTTCAACCAACAGGTCCTTCACCGCTCCTGCAGTAGAGGTATTATTGTACGAGACTCATTACTTAAAATATTGTTGCCGTCAGTGGTGGAACTTGCCTCCGTTTAATATTCATTCACTAGTTCTCAAACTGCCTCCCAGGATTAACCTGACGTACACAGACGTGTTTCATTAAGTGTATTTACTTATTGTTTTCACAAGTACACTAAACACAAGTCTCCAGAGACCTTGGTGTATCCTTCTGTTTACAAGAGACAGTCACCAGCGTCAGGCACCTCCATAACAGTTCATGCACACTGTTGACCTTCACAGATGTTCTCATGGCGGTGAAAACGTTGGGAGAAAAATTAAAGGTTTATTATGACGATGATCTCCAGTATTGTCAACCACAGTTAACTATAAGATATTAAGGCACTAATGGTCTTGGTGACAATATGTTACAGAACCAGGACCTCCAGTCATCATGTCGGTGGAGCCAGCACCGTCCTCGTCACTAAGAGTGTCGTGGAGCGCCCCAGAAAGCCCAACGGCGTCATCACCAACTATACTATTACCTGGACCTGAGAGGGGCGCCACCAACCACTGCAACCCTGACACCACCACCGCACCTGCTTCCCTGCACCACCTACAGCGTCACCGTCAGGGCTGCTACAAGTAAAGGTTATGGTCAGAGAGTGATCCATACTGGAACAACTTATCGTGTAGGTGAGTGTTTACAATGTTCCTTGTGCTAATTACTTAATAGACACATATGTACACAATTATATACAAACAACATATATGCACAGGCACAACACAGAAATACACAAACACTTACATATACACATATATACACACACACACACACACACACACACACAAACACACATACACACACACACACATATATACACACACACACACACACACACACACACACACACACACACACACACACACACACACACACACACAAACACACACACACACACACACACACACACACACTGTTAAGTTGGCCCATACCAACTCCTCCCTGAACCCTCCTCCCCACCGGAATATCAACAAGTTCTCGCCAAGTTACTATTTCATTTAGGAAAGGAATGGAACCAGTGTTAAACAGAGGTGAACAGTGGTGAACAGTGCTTAAGTCAGTGAGAACAACTCAACAGTAACAGTCGCACCCAAGTTAACCTTCACAGTGAGGTCCCAGGAACCCAGTGATAACGGCCCGTGAGACCCAACAACCAGCGACGTGTTAATCCGTCTACGATAGGAAGGCCTGGGACAACACCTCACTCATATAACACCGTCTGTGAAGGTTACTACACCACGTGAGGCCCGCATAACACCATCTGTGAGGGAATTACTACACCACGTGAGGCCCTCATAACACCATCTGAGGGAATTACTACCACGTGAGGCCCTCACTAACACCATCTGTGGGGAATTACTACACCACGTCAGGTCCTCACAACACCATCTGTAGTGCACACCAAGTGAGGCCCATAACACCATCTGTGAGGGAATTACTACACCACGTGAGGCCCTCACAACACCATCTGTGAGGAATTACTACACCAAGTAGGGCCCCGCATAACACCATCTGTGAAAATTACTACACCGTGAGGCCCTCATAACACCATCTGTGAGAATTACTACACCACGTGGGGCCCTCATAACACCATCTGTGAGGTACTACACCACGTGAGGCCCCGCATAACACCATCTGTGAGGAATTACTACACCACGTAAGGCCCCTCATAACGCCATCTGTGAGGAACTACTACACCACGTGAGGTCCTCCTAACACCATCTGGGGAGTTACTACACTACGTGTTTGCTGTTCAACACCTACAATAATCTGTTTGTTCACTGTATGTTCCTTTACCTTTCTCTAAGAAGCTTTTGTTAAACCACCAATGTATGTAATAAGTCATTTATGTCAATGTATATTTCAGCCTTCTGGCTGCAGAACTTTCAATAAACCGTTAATTATTAATTATTATACACACACACACACACACACACACACACACACACACACACACACACAAACACACATACACACACACACACACACATATATATATACACACACACACACACACACACATACACACACACACACACACACACACACACACACACATATACACACATACACACACATATATATACATACACACACACACACACACACACACACACACACACACACACACACACACACACAACTGTTCTGTTAATAATCATGTAGATAGTCCTAATACAAACTCTAAATAAATAACTTAACCTAACCTCATGGAGACAGTCAGTCCCTTAACCACATGAGAGAGAGACAGTCAGTCCCTTAACCTCATGAGAAAAGACAGTCAGTCCCTTAACCTCATGAGAGAGACAGTCAGTCCTTAACCTCATAGAGAGAGACAGTGAGTCCCCTAACCTCGTGAGAGACCCAGTCAGTCCTTAACCTCATGAGAGAGAGCAGTCAGTACCTTAACCAATGAGAGAGGCAGTCAGTCCTTAACCTCATTAGAAGAGACAGTCAGTCCTTAACCTCATTAGAGAGACAGTCAGTCCTAAACCTTATAGGAAAGAAACAGTCAGTACCATAACCACCTGAGAGAGAGACAACAGTCAGTCCCTTAAGCACATGAGAGAGAGACAGTCAGTCCCTTAACCTCATGAGAGAGACAATCAGTCCCTTAACCTCATGAGAGAGACAGTCAGTCCCTTAACCTCATAAGAGAGACAGTCAGTCCATACCTCATGAAGAGAAAAGACAGTCAGTACCTTAACCACATGAGAGAGAGACTGCAAGTCATAACCTCAGGAGTCAGTCCTTAGCCTCACGAGAGAGAGACAGTCAGTACCGTTACCCACATAGAGAGAGACAGTCAGTACCTTAACCGCATGACAGAGAGACAGTCAGTCGCTTAACCTCATGAGAGAGCAGTCAGTCCCTTAACCTCATGACAGAGAGAGAGAGACAGTCAGTCCATAACCTCATGAGAGACAGTCAGTCCCTTAACCTCATGAAAAGAGAGACAGTCAGTCCCTTAACCTCATAAAGAGAGACAGTCAGTCCTAACCTCATAAGAGAGACCATCAGTACCTTTACCCCGGAGAAGAAACAGTCAATACAGCACATGAGAGAGAGACAGTCAGTTCCTTAACCTCATGAGAGAGACAGTCCCTTAACCTCATGAGAGAAGAGAGTCAGTACCTAAACCCAATGAGAGAAACAGTCAGTCCCTTAATCTTATAAGAAAACAGTCAGTCCTTAACCTCGTGAGAAGAAGCAATACGTAACT